GGAAGTTTCCAGGCCCTCCGCGTCCTCCTCAGAAACCAAGCATATGTCGCCTTTGGAACGACAAAGCCGAATTGACGCTCTGAGGGCTAAGACAGCTGGCGTCACCATCAAAGGTGAGTACGAACCAAGTCATGGCTTGATTGATGCGTGCCTTTCTATGATCGACCAGCGATGTCTTAGGCACATTCCTTTCCACAGATGCCTCAGCCGAGACTCAGAAGCCTCCGCCCAGGCATCCGGCCGCGATAGGCAGATTTTGCGACTCGAGGACAACCGCCTGGAAGTCTCCGCCGAATCGACCCGCAATGCAGACACCAGTGACGGCCTCAGAATTTCTTTCTGTCTTTTTCGCAGATCAGCAGCTTTGGAAATTGCCAATGTGGTCAGTTTCAATATCAGTCGACTTTGGGACCAACACCTTCTCAGCTTTCTTACCAGGTCTGTTCCGTCAGGTTTTCAGCCAGTTTCTATTGCTCAAACACACACGGCCGACAAAGAATTCTGGAAACTTCTTTCCGAGGAAGCCGGCGCATCCTTTTGCCCAAATCTTGGAGGGGAACAGGCCCTTAGATGACCTGCTCCCATCTCTTATGCATGCCCCTCAGGTCGGCGCCTGGCTCCTTCCTCGACATGCAATGTTTACTGGCAAGGGATATTCAGCCGGCAAGACCAGTGGCAAGGGTTCCAAGGGAGATAAGGGCAACGGTCCCCGCCACGCCTCTCAGCCTTACTGGGGCGGGAAATCCAATAAGCCCCCAGGCAAGTCCAAGGGAAAGGGAAAGTCCCCATCGCTTCCTCAACCCCTTCAGAACAAAGGTTTCACCGGACGCACGCCTCAAGGACTGTCAGTATGCTTCGACTACAACCTTGCGCATGGATGCACATGTCCAGGTGACTGCCCGCGCGGCGCTCATGTGTGCATCAAATGTTTCGGTCGCCACTCCCTCACCAATTGCACCAGCCGCTGAACTTCAGGCACGGACCTTAGCCTTCCGGAACCCACTGATTTCGAGCCGCTTTCGGCCCCCCAATTTTCATTGCCTGACCCGCTACCATTTTCAGCTTTCGTCTGCATGGAAGTGTTTTCCGGTACTTGTCGCTTATCCAGAACTCTTACAGCTCATGGATTTCAATGCCTTGCAGTGGACAACATGCGGTCGCCAAGTTTCCATACATGGCTTCTTGATCTTCGCGATCCACAATACCAGAATTTGCTCTTATCCTTATTGTACAAACGTATTCCCAATTTTATTTTGTTTGCACCACCTTGCGGCACCTCGTCCCAAGCCAGATCCATCCCCGTTGACCCGTCCTCAGGTCTACCACAGCCTCGCCCTCTTCGATCCTCGGCTTGGCCACACGGACTGCCATCCTTGCGCCCGCCAGAGGCCATCAGAGTCCACAATTGTGCGGTGACCGCGTCCCTTTCGTGGTAGAGCAACCTCTCAACAGCTTGACCTTTGGTTCAGTGACTTTGTTTCTCAATACGGAATTCAGGAAACCCACATGTGTATGTTCGAGGGGCTCCGCTTAAAGAGGACTGGTCTATTGGCAAACCACGACATTCGAACCCTTCTTTCCACTTGCGACCAGTCCCACGAGCACCAACCTTGGATCGACTCCGCGAATTTCCGCACCAGCGATGAGGCAGCTTATCCGCTCAAGTTTTGCCGGCAAATTGCCTTGCACGTCAGCGCATTAGCTGAAGCAGCCGGTTACATCCCCCTTGGCCCTCAGATTACACTCCCCTCTTGCGGTAAACCTTGGAGAGAGGTCCGCATATCTCATGATGGCCAGTGTAGGCACCCAGTCCTCAGGTAATCGCCTGAACCATTTGCCACCGTCTTATCACGAGCGGTGGGTTTCTCAGGGCCTGGGCCAAGCCTGGGTCCAAGTTGAGATCCGGCTTCCCACCGGGAGCCAAGCTCCCCCGCAACCCGCGCACTGTCGACGGCCGATCCCTGATTCTGGTCCCCTTCACCCCAGATGAGGTTCTCAGTTCTATTTCCAATTATTCACACCCTGCCGATGCAACTCCAGTCTGCCGGGCAAACTTGTCCACGGCCTGCAGATGTGTAGCAAAAAATAAATAGACTCGCCAGCTGTCTGTGCATCGAGTTTGTCTGGGGGAGAGGCTTCGTGATCGCTGCGCCGCGCGCGGCTCGATGGGGGGATGGGAAGTGCGGCTAGTGGGAGCATGTCGAACGGCTGGCAGCCCCACTGCGTGGCGGCCGAAGAAGACACAACGGGCTGGAGCCCGGCGATGTGGGAAGACTTTTACGAGCACTGCTGCGAGTTGGAGCGCGACATCCTGGCGGGCAAGCACGGCGAGCTGCTGCTGCTGGGCGGCCGCATTTTGCCCGTCCTGAAGCCCAGGCAAGCGGAAGCCCAGCCCTGGCAGGCCGAAGGCCAGCCAGCCCCGAGACACCCGCTAGAAGAAGGCAGCGCGAGCAGAGAGCAGACACCCACAGTGTTGTCAGTAGGGAGGAGATGCATGAAGATGGGTTATGCATTTCACTGGATGCCTGGTAAACTACCTTTCATGGTTACACCAAAGCAGGGATTCGTACACTTACAAGTCAAGGACGACATCCCATACCTCGTGAGTGATGGTAAGCTTCGGAGTAACAGGCATCGCCCTACAGTAGACGACCTCAAGGAGCACTTCTCGGAAGTATTGGCAATGGTAACGAACGATGCGGCAGATCAGGATGGCGACGATGACAATGAGGTCACACCCGCCGCTGTCGGTGAATCCGCAGAGGTCGAGGGCGAGCGCCATGATGGTGCGTTTGACTTCGGACCACCCGGAGGAGCCGGTCCGGTACGTCCGCCTCCCGTAGCTGAGGAAATACCTGTAGACGTTGGGCCAGTCCCATGTCGACATGGTGATGCCGAAGCTAACGAGGAAGAGGTTGATGAGGATGATCCAGATGCCGGAATTGAAGTTGATGTGTACGAAGGGTCATCAATAAAGAGGAAAGTGGGAGTCCTCAAGAGGGACGCCAACTCCATTGCTCATTTGCTTACACACAGGTATCGAAACCCTTTCTGCGAGTCATGCGTCAAGGCAAAGATGAGACACTTCAGATCACGAACGGGGGCCTTCAAGAGGGACCTGGTGACGTTCGACTTTGTGACGGCATCAGGAGATCATGAAGTGGAAGGCAGGTATGCGCTCATTATTCGGGACATATATACCGGAATTATCATGGCTTATCCAACTGCGAGAAGAGACACTGACTCCGTGTCAGAGCCATCAAGCACTTCTGCGGGAGGAGGAAGATCAAGCAGGTATACTCGGATGATGGCCCGGAACTGATCAATGCATGCGTGGAGCTGAAGCTGAACCACGACCTGTCACTGCCTGGACGACCGCAGCTTGCTTTGTTCTTTTGGGTTCCAAGATAGGAGCAGTGCAACATGCCTTAACGCTTAGGGTTTTCTTTTCCCTTGTGTTTAGGGCGTGGTGGCCGTTTTGCTCCTAGCCTTGACCCAAACTTGATCTGTTTCATTTGAAACCCAACCCACCCGCCCTGCATGGCCTTTTTTACAAGGCTCTGCAAGGGAAGTTGCAGAAGCTCTGCACTTCCATTCAGGGTCTCCGGACCTCTAGGTCTCCGGACCGCCCAAGGTCTCAGGACCACCAGGTCTCCGGACCGGCGTGAGCAGCAGGAACTTCACGTCGGCGTTCAGCCCCACGCAGGCCAGGTCCGCCCAGAGCGCCATGTCCAGCTGCGTGATCTCCTCCACCACCAGCCAGTCCAGCTTTTGCGCGGGCACGCCTGCCACGCCTTGCGCGCACTGCGCGCACCTGCAAGGACACGCACTGTCTTGCCTTTAAGTTTCACGGGGGGTCAACGCACCTCCTGCTCCAGGCGCATCCGTGCCCTGGAAGCAGTGCTACTTTCAGCAATCCCGGTCAAAAGAACTGCGGTCGTTTCGGACTTGCTTTGTTCTTTTGGGTGGTCTGGTTTGGGTCCAAGATAGGAGCAGTGCAACATGCCTTAACACAAGGGTTTTCTTTTCCCTTGTGTTTATAGGTCTGGGGTGAATCTCCTACGCCGCCGCCATTTGGTGCTCCTAGCCCTCAAACTCACGTTTAGGACTCGCAGTCCTGGCTTCGTTTGAAACCCACCCACTGCTTAGGCCTACCGGACAGCCCTCCCCGCTGGGAGCCCTCCGGACATGAACTGGGAGCGCACTCTCAGCTTCATACCAGGGCCCAGACCCGCGGTCTGGCTGTTGGCGTCTCTGGACCCGCAGGTCCGTTGATGCGGGCGTGGGCACGCTTGCCACGCCCCCCATTTGGCATTTTAATGCAAGGACACGCTTGTCTTGCAACCTTGTTTTCCGCAAGGGGGGGAACATCTCGCCCCTTGTCCTAGGTGCACCGCAGTGCCCTAGGAAAGTGCCACCTTCCCAAGCAACCCGGTAAAAAGGTGTGCGCCTTGCTGTCGGCTTTTGGGTTCTGGGTTCTTTGTGGTTTGAGGCTAGGAGCAGTGCGCGGGACCTCTAACGGCAAGTGGCGAGCACTTCGTGTTCACCCGGCTCGGGCTTTTGTGCGCGTGCAGCTTTCGCTTCAAGGGGGGGCCCAGGAAAGTTAGGGGATTTCGGGGACCTAGGGGACCTGGGGGAGTTGGACCCCAGAACCCAGAAACCCAGGGACCCCAGAAACCTGAGGACCCCACAAACGCCAGGGACCCCAAAAAATCCAGGGACCCCAGAAACCCCCGCCCTGCAGGGCCCGACAGCTTGTGACTTCCGCGGTGCCGATTTCGGTTGCTTGTTTTGCAGGCAGGCCAGTTTGGTATCTCGTTCATTGGACTTTGATGCAGCGGCAGCAGGTCAGTGACGGATGGACGGCGCGAAGCCTTGCAAGGCTTGGCCCGACCGACCTTCAGGCCGCGAGTGGAGCAAAAGGAGGAACATCCAAACCCCTACATTGGTGTTGCCAAAGAAGCCACTCAATCTTGCGTTTGCTCTGGAAACTTGGCTCGAGGGTACTCATCAACACTGACACAACAACAGCTCGCAATTGTTGCCCGATGGGTCTTTTGCCAGTGCTTGAGGAATCGCAGGCCGCTCAAGCGCTTTTCGAATAGCCATGGCGATGATGCGGACCAGGACAAAAAGCCGAGGCTGGCAAGCTTGTGACGCTACCGTGCCCGCGGTAGGCAGCGGCCAGGTATGTGCCTCTGCCTCGGGATCGCGTTGGCGCTGCTCCTGCAGCCGAGCACGGCCTGGGTCTTGGGACACATTTTTTTCTCGAAAACTTTCGGGTTTCAGGAGTCCCTTCTCGATTCTCAAGACTTTGCGCGAGGAGTTCCTGGGCTGAAGGACCATGATGTCCCTCCCTTGAATGTTCCTGTTTCGTGCTGCCGTGCCAGGACAGCATATTGGCCCAGTTCTCAGAGTTGCCCGCATTCGCAAGCAAATTTCACTTTTGCTCTCTCAGGTGGCAAAACGGCACCCGTTGCATGCCGGAGTCGCTCGGCGCGCCCGGCCTGCGCAAGAGGACTCCTCCGACCCGAAGCCTGTTCGCATCTTTTGCCGGTTGCCGCCAGAACGACATTGCCGAGGCATGGGGGACACGTGCATCAAGCTTGAACGCTGGGCTTCTTGGCTGCCAGGACCGGCTGGATCTCGAGAAGGCGGCGGACCTTCAGAGAAAGCGACGTCCCAGCCTTGTCTCGCTCAGGTGGTCGCAGAAGCCAAACGGGTTGTGGACAACGGCACGCTGAAAGACATGCGAGTGGTCATTCGCCGCTTTAGCAGCACGTCAATACGTTCGTTGTGGATTTTCAGGCGCGGTTGAGCTCAGGAAGAGTGAAGCTGGTAGATCCAGCAGGGAAGTGGAAGGTTCGGGTTAATAAGCCCGAGTTGGAGAAGCAGCTGCGGAAGTTTGTGGCGGAGGCAGCAGTGTTTGCTTCCTTTACCAACAGGTCAGATTCACAAGCGTTTTCGTGACATTTTCAAAATGCACGTTTGTTGTGGGTGCTGTTCAGGCCAAAGCAGCCAAAACGGCATTGGAGGAGGCCGTCCGTTCGAGCGCGTTCGAGCGCTTTCGAGCGCTCGGCGTGGGAGTCGGCCCGGGCAGGACCTGCTCCTGGCGCGACAGCAGCGGAAGACGGCCCAGCGGCAGGTTGAGAGCGCCCAGCGGCAGGTTGAGACTGCCCAGGAGCAGGAAGCAATGGCGGTGAGGCGTCTCGCTGGAGCTGCCACCGTTTTGGAGACGGCGGAGGACTCGGGCAATGCGACAAAGGTGCAGGAGGCGGAGAGGAAGGTGGAGAAGGCGAAGAAGGAGGTTCAGGAGGCGAAGAAGGAGGTTCAGGAGGCGAAGAGGAAGGTCCAGGAGGCGAAGAAGGAGGTGCAGGAGGCGGAGAGGAAGGTGGAGAAGGCGAAGGAGGAGGTCAAGGAGGCGAAGGCAAGCGGCCGGACGAAGGAGTCCGAGGCGGGCTGAGTCGGTCGCTTCCGCCGGCCGGCTGCGTTCTGGGACGTTGGTCGTTGCGTGCGGTTTTGGAAATTCCCCCGCGCGGCCCGCAAATGCTTTTGGTGGGGCTGCCCTGATCAACACCCACAGAAACAGGAAATCCCAAGATAGCATTTGTGCAGATTGCGGCGGTTCGTGTCGTTGGCAGGCTCGGTATGGAGCCCCCCATGAACGGATGGTTGCCATTCCTTGCCATTCGGGGATGTCGGTCATTCCTGCCGGTCAACATTGATTGAGACGTGCCGTTGATCCTTGTGAGTGATTTTGTCATTGCCTTCAGCTTGCTTTTCAAAGAGCAAGACCTGCCCTTCTGCCGTCGGGGAGAGGGAGGGCAAACTCTGATGTCTTTATGTCTCTGCACCCATTGGGGTCCTGGCTGCTGAAGGCCCAAGTGCATTCTGTGAATGTTCTCTTTGATGCAGTGAGTTCAACCATACATTCCCGGCTTTGCATCCACGGGCAGAGTTCCTGTTCGATGGTTTGGCCCGTTGTGCTGCCATTCCATCCCCTTCTATTGTTCAATTTTAGATGTACCTGCTCATATCTGCCTGATTTGAAATTCTTTTGCTGAGGCGGAGCCACCCGACTCGATAAATCCAACAATTGCTGATGTCCTTACACTCCTCCGCACCCGATTTTGGAGACAGGCACGGAGCAGTTGGTGCGAGAAGTTGCTCGCGAAGAAGTTGAAGTTTGGAGCAGCCGACCAACTGCTTGCAACAGTTGGGGCCACATGGGACTATTGTGGGAAGGAGGAGCTCCGTGAGCGCATGCAGATCCCCATCCAGAAGCTGCACGAGCAAAAGGGGAAGAACAGTGACAAACAGCTTCATCCTTTGTTCATTGCATTTGCAGGCCCAGGGCAAGGCAAGTCCCGGTTGCTGACAGAGTTCCCGGGCCTGGTCGAGCAGTGCTTGCAGAATGTGTCTGAAAGGCAGAAACTGAAATTCAGCAAGCAAACGACGAGCTTCATGATCAGCTGCGAGAACGCCCTCTCTCCCGGGGACTGGGCCACGGAGGAGCTCAATGCCCAACGCTTTGTGGCATGCCGCATGCTGTGGCAGCTGAGGAATGCAAACAAGGAGGCTTTTCGGGAGGTCGGCGCTCCAGCAGACTTCGCCGAATTCCGCGTCGAATGCTCCGATAGCCTTGTTGCAGAGGATGTCTTTGCAGCTGTGCTGTGTGATGAGCTCAATCATTGCACGGTGGTGATCGGAGTCGACGGGATGCAAGGTCTGCCTGGATTTACTGACCGCAGTGATGCTGTGGGCAAGGACCTGCCATTCTATCAGGTGATGCAGGAGGTCTGCCGCCTCGTCAACCAAAAGGAAGGCGCCTTTGTCGTAGCCTGTGTGGCCGCTTTGCAAAATGTGAAGAGTGGACTTGCTGGCAGTCCCCAGGCCCGAGTTTTTCTGGAGCTGCCACGCGTGACCGCCGTAACCCGCAACAAACAGCCGGTGCTGCCCGGCCACCGCCTAAAAGACCTTCTGATCGAAGACATGGGCGGGCATGGCAGAGCTTTGGAGTGCCTTCTAGAGGCCTTGATGGAGATGCCCAACGCTGCAGCAACTGCCTTGGTGGGTGCAGTTATGAGACAATTGAGGCAGAAATATCCCGACGCCATTCAGCTTGAGCCGGAGGCAGACCTCAAGGAACTGCTTCGCGCAGCTGTTTCAGGCAGATGGATTTGGTCTGGAGACACGGTCGGCAATCTAGATCCTGAGAAGGTGGAGCTTATTCGCGTTAAGTTCAAGGACGGCGACCCCTCCCAGTGCTTGTACCGCATCGACTTGCCCTACATTTGGTTGCACTTGATGCTGAGTTCGCCTAAGTTCTCTGACGATTTGCAACCGTGGAACTTGATGGACTACCACTTGTTTGAGTCAGAACCAACCTGGCAACAGTGGGAAGAATTCAATGCCAGGTTTCGAGTGTTGCGAGCGTCTGCGTTTGAGGATGGACAAGTAGTTGACATTGCCGATCTACACAGGGGTGCAGTGATCCAGCCTGACAGCTTGAAAAGCACCAAGGTCATCAACCGGCATCTGCAATTTGCCAAATCCGGGACGTTGACTGACAAACGTGTTTTAGTGGTGAATGCCGCCGGAGCTCCAGCTGCTGATGCCTTTCTCATGTTGGAAGAGGTGGGGGCAGAGGGCAACCATCACACCATCTCTGAATGTTTGCAATGCAAGAAGGGCGAGTCTCGATTAGAAGCATGCGACAAAGCTGACATCCTGGTGCTTTTGATGACAACGACAAACACTGTGCCACAAAGCGGCGGACAGCGCTTGATCTTCGTATCTGAAGCGCAGTACCAGGAGTACTTTGGCTTCTACGCTGGTAGAGCCTTCTATCAAACCAGGGCGGCCAAACCTTGAAGGCTGAATTGTTGCTGCTGTGCCATTTCCTGGCCTAGAATTGGATCTCGGGGCTCAAAGAATTGCGGAGCATGAGGAAAACAAATTCTAGGTGCAGAACGAGCAGATTGGGGAACCGAGGAAGGCCATGGAACGATTTAGGGTGTTGAGACCTTTTGTTTCCTTTTCTCAATGCGAGTGACGAATCAAACGCATGAACATGTGGAATTGGCTACATGTGATTTGGCCCCAAAGCCCATCAATATGCTAAGACATGTTTTTTTCCTTGTGCTGGCCTCGGCCTCCTGGGCTGCCCCAAGAAGTCGTCCAGCTGCCTTGCCGCAGCGGGCCGGCCGCGCCTCGTCAGCCTGCCCGCGGCGTTGCCGCTGGGGCGCCGGCAGGGCCTCCCGCCCCTCGGTGCTGCGGACCGTCATGGAGTCCACGGCCTGCAGCCCCATACTGGGGGTTGAAGCTGTTGGTGGGAGCCCTGAAGGCCCCCGCGTCCTCTGGCCTTGATGCGGCGGTCGGTCAGATCCTTGTTGTGCTGGAACTTGTCCACGTTGTTTTGCAGCAGCCGGAACTCGGTGGCCGGCTGCCGCTCCACGTCCTCTAGGGCCCCGTAGACCGTCTCGTGCGGCTCCTCCTCCAGGGTCTGGATGCCCCGGTCGATCACGGCCGTGGCGCTGCGGTCCTCGGGCCGCTTGGTGCGGTGCTCCTCGGGCAGCTCCCGGTCCAGGGAGGCGAACTCGTTGCCCAGGTCTGTGGTGACCACGAAGTTGCGCGGCCCGCTTGGTGGCCTGGCCCACGGCCTCGGCGCTCTTGCTCTGCAGCGGCTCCACGGCCGCCTCCCTGGTGATGGTGAAGACGTCCATGACCACGAGGCCGTACTTGGTCTTCCTCTTGGAGTCGATCAGGTCGGCCTGCAGCGGGTTGTTGGGCCCCTCCGCGGTGGACTTGCCGAGGGCCCTGGGCTGCGGGGCCTGCACGACGTGCAATACTTTTTCAGCTCGCTGAGCTCGTTCCTCACGAGGTGGAGGCCTGTTGGCCGACTACCGGACGGCGAGCGCAGACGCAGCCATCGCGGGCGCGCTGCTAGCCTACCGGACGGGCCCGGACCAGGATGTTTTCACGACCAACCACTGCTTGGCTGCCGCGAGCTGAATCACCATTGCGCAGATGGACGGCCTCCTAGCCGGCAAGCTGGGAGTCACGGAGGCAGCCTGGAGATAGCCGCGCGCTTCCCGGACGATGGAGGGGTGGACGAGGCGGTGGCCGCCGTCGGGGAGCAGATCCTGGGTCCCACGGACGTCTTGCTGCGCGAGGTACAGCTTTCACGCGGCTTTGCAGCCGCTTGCGCACGCCCGGCGCAACCTGTCGTCCAATTCAATTCGGGCCGGTTGTACTGCTTCGGCTCCACGGCGTCGAAGAGCTGCTGCAGCTTGTCGTGACTGGCGTCGGCCAGTTCCGTCTTCACGCGGCTGTCCGAGAGGTCGGTGAAGTCGTGTTGCAGACCACGTTGCCGGTGTTGCCTGCTATCACGAGGCAGCCGGGGTTGCGGTCGGGGAGAGCTGGGTGCTCAGGCTCAGCAAAGCTTCGTCGTTGAGCATGATGAGCTCGCAGCGCCCGAGTCCCTGCTGAGGAAGACCGGGCGCTCTGGTTCCCCACCATCCGCACCTCGGGGCCGCTGTTGGCCAGGGCGCTGTTGTTGTTGATCGTCAGGCTGGCCCAGCCGCTGCCGCACGTCCAGCGTGTTGCTGGCGTAGAGCTGCGGCGCCGTCACGGTGCCGGTGCTGTTGACGTTGCCGCAGGCCACGGTGCCGGTGGAGACGCTGCCGCTGGTCATGGCGAAGGTGCAGGTGACGCTGCCCGAGCTGACGGCTCCGCCGCCCACGTCCAGGGAGGTGCCCACCAGGGTGTTGGTGGAGGTCACGGCTCCGCAGGACAGGTCGCCAGTGGACGCGGCGCCGCTCAGTCAAGGTGCCAGCCGAGACATCGTCTACAGTGTTGAAGTTGCACGCTGTGGCGGTGTTGGTGACGCTGAGCGCGCCCCCGGAGATGGTGCCGGTGGCAGAGAGCACGCCCACGCTGGCCGCGCCGCTCAGCGAGCCCCGCTCAGGGTCCGGACGTGGAGAAGCCGCCGGCGGTGAGGGTGGCCGTGCCGGTGGTGGTCACGCCTGTCGTGAAGACGTCGGCGGTGTTGACGTCGTTGCAGAGCAGCTGGTTGCAGCCGATGTTGCCCTGGGCCGTGAGCCCGTCCAGCGTAGCGGAGCCTGAGGGCCAGCGTGTTGCCCACGGACCGAGACGGCCTCGCCCTGGTAGGCGATGGCCTTAGTCTGCAGGCTGTACAGGTCTGCTGCACCAGGCCGGATCGTCCCGCCGAAGGCGCCGAAGACGCCGCTAGGGGGCACGGTGGCCGTGCTCCAGACCCCCGCGGCGGGCGTCCCAGGAAGGTGCCTGTGATGCCCGCGTAGTCGTTGTCGGACGTACATGACAAGGTGGGTAACGCTAAGGGTTTTCTTTTCCTTGTGTTTATAGGTAGCCCTCAAACTCACGATTAGGACTCGCAGTCCTGGTTTCGTCTGCCCTGTCTCCTTGTCTCAGCTTCAAGCTTCTCTAAAAGACAAGTGCATTTTGGAGTGGATGGGCATCCTACAACTCTGCAGAGACTCAAGCCTTCTTGCACAAGCCTTGCAGTCATCAAATCAGCCTACAGTTTTGCTGGAGACTTCCTTGCGCAAGTTTTCGGCCACTACACTTTCGCAATACCTGCGCGCCGTTCGCATATTCCTGGCCTTCGTCGCCCAGTGCGCAGGAAGCCTCGCCCTACTTAGCCTTGCACACCAGGCCTCAGTGCAGGAAGACAGGTTTGCGTTGAAATGCAGCCCCTTACTAATGTGCAAAGCACTCTCCTGGCTAGCTCACATTGGTCAAATACGAGTTGGCAGACCTGATGGTGAACCCCCTAGTCCGGGCTCTTTCATCAACACCTGCACCACATGACAGGAGAGAAGCTTTGCCGCTGCCTCTAGCAATTTTGGCAGCTTGGGAATCGCACATCGTGTCACGTTCGTGCCCGCCAGCAGTGGGCTTAGTGCTGGGCGCATTCCTTCTGTGTACGCACTGTAGCCTCAGGTTTGGAGACATCCAACGCATTAGGCCCTTCACCCTTTCACTTTCGGCACAAGCACTTAGAGGGATTTGTTGGGCGACCAAAACCACAAATCAGGGCCAGCCTTTTGCTCGGGCAGGCACCGGAAGCCACAAAGACAGAGTGGGGGGAAGCATTCCAGCCGGATTTCATTTTGCCTTGCATGCCTGATTTGGCATCCCTGCCCTTTCACGCCCTATGTCCTACTTGCAAGCACTGGTATGCCTTCGCTGGGCCGTACAACTGCCCTGGTTGTCAGAAGGCGGACAGCTAGTCACTCAACAAGAGGCCGGAGCCTTTACACTCCACAGCCTTAAATGCGCCTTGCTCAGCGCTGCAGCTCAGTTGCGCCTTCCAGAAGAAAGCCGGAGATTGCAGGGCCATCATCGCCTTTTGTCCGCACTGCTGTACAGCAGAGACGATACAATCGAAGCCCTGTGGGTGCAATTGGAGTTGGCCCTCGCAGTCAGGCAAGGGTGGCGCCCTCCTTGCCCTATGGCCAGAGGGGGCCAACGCCCGACAATCGAACCGGCACTTCCGAACGCCACAAGAGAAGCCACCGGCGCAACTCCGACCTTAAGTCTTTGCCTTGCGTGAGGTAGAGGGGCTGCTATGCCAAGACACCGACAGGGACGAGGAAGCCCTCACAGTGGAGCAAGCAGCCTTGGTGTCGTCGGAGGCCGAGTCGGAGCCCGAAAACCTCTCGCCTTTTTGGAGGAAGCCGGGCCCAGCCAAGCGCCGAGTTCGTAGGAGTCCGCCTTATGCCTTGGGGGGCAGTGCGCGCCATGACCGACACTCATGCGCACTCAACCCTAACAGCGTGCGGCCTGCAAATTAAGAACCTCTCGTTTGCTGTACGTGAGGTTCACCCAGACATGCAGCTATGCCAACGCAAGGCTTGCATTGCTCTGTTGAGTTAAAAAAGGCCCCTGCGTTAGAGTGCCCACACACAACGGCCGCTTCAAATTATGCTTGGCATTCCTTGCATCGCTCTCCCAGGCCAGCGCTCCAGGGGACACCAAGAAGACCCAGGCGCGAACTTGCATTGCTTGCCCTTGTTAGATGTCTAACGCTTGATGGCGGTTCCTATCTTGCCGACAGCCGTTTGCCCATTATATCAAGCTGGCCCTCTGGCTGTGCGCCGGGGGCCCATGGATAGGGACAAGCTCAACACCATCCTCACTGATGCTCGAGTGCCAGAAGGCCTTCGCGATTTGGTGTTGGCCAAGGGGTTTTACTGCTCTTCGGATTTCGCGTTTGCCTTCCCAACAATAGCAGATCTGCAGCCTTTCATCACATCGGCAACTGCGTTCTGGATCGTGGCAGCAGCACGCCTTAGAAAGGCCTTAGCGGAATGCCATCGCCTGTGTGTCAACGCACCGCCAGCGCATGAGCCTAGCAGTGCCTCCACGACACCGGGATTGCCAGCTCAAGCATCCGGCAGCCCTGATCCTGGGCCGGCGCAGGGTCGGGCGACACTGCCTTCGCCGGTACAGCCTTGCACTGCACGCACTCCGTTGCCAGAGCCGCCGCAGCAAAGTGCCGGGCCAGTGCAGCAAGGCCACACGGCCAGCGCATCTCAGCGCACAGCCGGGCAACTGGGGGGGCTCCTGCTGGATGTTTTCGCAGGTCACCTCAGCAGCCGTAAACCTCGGCTTTGATTGTTTCGAGCCTTTTGACCTGAACCACAACCAGGAACATGATATGCTGGACAACACGGTTTTCGAAGCCCTGTCAAACTGTGTTGGTCAGGGCTGATCGCCCTTATAATGCTTGCCCCGCTTGCAAGGAGTACTCTAGGTTAAAACTAAGACCCGGCGGCCCAAAAGCCTTAAGAACACCGCAGCATATGAACGGCGTGCCCGGCCTTTCGCCCTCGCAGTTGAAACGGATCCGGGATAGCCACGCCATCCATGAACGAGGCCGAGCCTTGTTCATTGCAGTAATTTC